GCCTGCTTTTCGTCAGCAGGGACAGGGAAGATGGTCAGAATTGATGGGAAGATGGATGGGGCCATTCTGGAAGAAAACCTGTTTGAGTCTGCAAGAGACCTGAGACTGGGACGGAGATTTATCTTCCAACAAGACAATGATCCAAAACATAAAGCCAAATCTACAATGGAATGGTTCACAAATAAACGTATCCAGGTGTTGGAATGGCCAAGTCAAAGTCCAGACCTGAATCCAATTGAGAATCTGTGGAAAGAGCTGAAGACTGCTGTTCACAAACGCTCTCCATCCAACCTCACTGAGCTCGAGCTGTTTTGCAAGAAAGAATGGGCAAGAATTTCAGTGTCTCCATGTGCAAAACTGATAGAGACAAACCCCAAGAGACTTGCAGCTGGAACTGCAGCAAAAGGCGGCGCTACAAAGTACTAATGCAAGGGGGCCCAATAATATGGCACGCCCCACTTTTCAGTTTTTTATTTGTTAAAAAAGTTTGACACATCCAATAAATTTCATTCCACTTCACGATTGTGTCCCACTTGTTGTTGATTCTTCACAAAAAATTAAAATTTTATATCTTTATGTTTGAAGCCTGAAATGTGGCAAAAGGTTGAAAAGTTCAAGGGGGCCGAATACTTTCGCAAGGCACTGTACCAGTTGATAATCACAGTTGTAGTAGCAGGTTGTTGTGGCTCTGGACACATTTATTTTAGTGAATGAAGGTGTAAAATGGCTCTTTTAGTCATAAAGGTTGCAGACCCCTAGCCTAGATGCAGCCACACTCCAAAAAAGAAGTTAGCTCATTGCTTATTTTTCAAGTTATACAGCTCACAAGGTTCACACACACACGCACATATATAGCAGCAACCATCTTGGATTTTGACATGGCAACCCAGTCTTAGAAACAAACTTTTCTTACGCATATTAGATTAAATTAAACATGTTAAGCTGTTGCGTTAGAATAAAACAAACCAATGTAGCATCTCACTAACAATACATAAAGTTAACAACTTGGCTGTTTACAGACTTTAAAGACCTGACGACACAGAGCTGCGTAATGACAAGCAGCATGTTTATGTAAATTATTCACAGAGTCTGTGAATGTTTCACTCATGGATATGAGGTGGAGGAGGCTTCATGCGGTCTCATTTAATATAAAATCACACACACACACGCACACACACCACAATAAGTAGACACTTCTGGTGTGAAACCATGGAGGTGTGCAGGATGTTTACCAGGCGAGGCCAGTCTTCACACACACTTCAGTCTGCTGTGTCTCCAGAGCTGTGCCTTCCTGCTCTAATTAAAGACCTCCCCACATAGCAGTCACCCCCTGTACTTAACATCACACACGCACACACAAACACACACACGCAGCTTCAGACAGAATACGACAAGAGAGGGACAGACAGAAGAAGTCGAGACATCCTCCTCACTCTCGCCTTTCACCTGAAACCCAAACTGATCACACCAGTTTTTATTTTAACTACACAAACTCCTGTTTGATGGCAGGCAGAATATTTACAGTGAGTGTCTGTTAAAAGCAGCAGGAGGTAATAAAGTTGAATCTTGTGACGGGTTCTTTAAACAAACACCAGAGGAGCTTTGTTTCTTTTTTATCCTCCTGCTTCCTGAACAGCTAATCCTCATCTTCAGGTTTAAACACCTGGTAGAGTAGAGGGCCGCTCATACATACAGCTCATACAGTCTGAAAGAGGAATACAAAGAACTTTATTTGGACTAAATTTACTTGTTTTTCTCAACTTGTATTCTCAGTTTATTGTAGGACAGGGATTAACACAGATGAGTATCGTCATAAATTGAATAATTCTAGTCTCGTGGATCCTTGCAGTTGCCCAATGAGTGAACTGTGAGCATTAAAGTCTGATCAGAAATTATATTTTCTGATATTTATCAATACGGTTCACAAAGTAAGTCTGAAGGCATTTAAAACCCTGGAAATCTAGTTTGATGTAAAGATGAGATTTGTCAACAGACACAAGATGCAAATGTTGTACGTCACCTTTTGCACAAGTCTTTTTAGCACAAATCTGCTTTTAATCCTGATGTTAACGTAATCTTACACGGATTGAACGAGGAAGATACTAAAAAGCCTATCTAGTCTATAATTTATCAACAACAACAAATAAAAAAAAGATTTAAAGAATGCTACAATGGCCACAGAAGAGTCACTGTAAACTCATGTTTTATTGTTATTTTTGCCGTAATTAACTTTTTCTCTTATATAAATAAACAAACAAATAAATAATGTCTCTAACTTTTTTGAAATTGGTTATCTAATCAAATGTTCAACAGCTTGTCCTCATTTTGGTTATTATATGGTCTGCCCAGAAAGTGAAAGAGAAAGAGCAATAAAAGTTTGTCTGTGTGTTTGCCTGTCATGTTAGTAAAATATCTCATATGAGCACTGGATAGATTTGAATGACACTCAATTATTGAATGTACAGAATATCTACAACTGAGCAACTTTTGGAGTGCAGTCAAATCAAAATGGCTGCCATGGCTAAATGGCAGCAGCAAACACCACAATGGCAACAACTCGGTGCCTTAAATGTCATAAAGGACTGGCGTCAACACAGACTGTTACCAAACATCCTCAAGAACCTGAAACTTTCAGGAAGTGATGCTCGGACGTACGGCCACAACTGAGTCAGCACAGTTCAAGATGGCCACCGCAACTAATCAACCCAAGCTAACATCAATTTACAGATCTTGAGCTAAAGTTAGATGCGGTAGTCGCAGAGAGTCATCCTCAGACATGTTCGAAGTTTTCATTCTGTATCGATCTGTGATTTTAAAAGTTTGGAAAAGTAAGTGGACTAAAAGCTTTGTTAGCATTAGTGAGAGTTTCTGCTAAAACTGTATTTTGATTTCAATCGTGTCGACAAACAAATCCGTTCAAACACTGACCTCTTACAGTAAAGTGAACACTTTGCACACACACACACTGGCAGCTACACACGTGCACTTTTATTTGTCATTTAGAGTTCATTTCCACACCAACAGGCTGTGAATCTTTGTTTTCCACAGCATATGATCCCATTAACATGTTTAACCTGAGAGGATTCTCTTGAAATAATCCATAATAATCCATAACTAGAGAGATTTAATTTCCTGTGGAAATGCAGTGTGAATGCTTATTTCTGAAGAACTTGCTGAAAACAGCTGAAATTAGCTTAAAAAAAACATAACGACATTTAGCTGAAATAGAAGAACAAGCCTAAATTAGAAAAAGAAAGCAGAAACACATATTTGCTGAATTAAGATGAAAGAAGTATCATGAGCACCAAAAAGTGGAAATTATCTGAAAAAAGCTAAAATTAACAAAAATAAAACAGCTGAAAAGTAGTTAAAAAAAAAAACAGAAAAAAGCTTTAATTACCAGAAGGAAGTGGAGAGCGCTCAGTTTTGCTGAATT